GCAGACCACTTGCTAAGCATTCAGTTGCAAGTCTGAAAGCTTATAATGATTGAATACTTGTGAAAATGAAAACTGCAATTTTATTATGCTTGATGTTCTGCAGAGGCCTTAGTTAGTCTTCGTACGTTCCTGGGGAAAGGTTTTTTCTTCCAGAACAGAAAAGAAAATATGGAGGAACAAGGCTGTAGTTTTTACATTTCCAAGGGACATAATCAAAGAAACAAGATAGAATGCTATACTTATTAGCCTTATACACTGGTACTATGGGATATTACCAGAGGGACTATAGCCAGGGAAGTCAGAACAGAAGCTACTGAGAATCTCCAAAAATGACCCAGACTGAACAGACTGTCCAATCTCAGACACATGCTCTAAGGGTTCTCTGAGACCAGTGGCAGAGAGAGAGATGGCTCTGTTGGTCTGAAGTCAGACAGAAGGCAGAATAGGGGTGCACCTTATAGACTAACTGAATTAAAGATGTTTAAATTATAGTTAGCAACAGCTCACTTCATCAGATGCTGTGAAAAGACACATGGAGAACAGGCTGTCAGGTAGAAGAAATGATTTAAATACAAAAGACTTGGAAGGAAGGAAAGAGGACAGTTCTAAGAAGCAGATGGGGCTGAAGAGAATAACAAAACAATAAACCCATCCAGACATAAGAGCTAATTCAGGTAATGGGATAAGAATCTATAGTCCCTGTTTAGACCATACTTAACACAATCCAGTCTGTGGAAGACTTCTTGTTCCACAATTTCATGTTAAAGTTGGTTTTTAAAATTCTAAGAACAGCTATTCTGTGGTCATTGATGGAATGTCCAGGTATTTTTGGCAAATGACAGTGGTGGCAGTAAACGTGCAAAATAATTTTTGAGGCTAGGGGAAGACATTACACATAAACTGGTTTAAGTGATCAGAAACTGGTTTAAACCTGTAACAGAACACATGTTCAGCTAACATAAACCAGTTTTGAAAACAGCTGAAACCAGTTTGAGATAAATCTGGTTGAATACAGATCAGATTTAACTGATTTGGGTCAAACTGGTTATTGCAATGTCTGTCCCAGACCCCTTGCTGATTTAAATTAAACCAAACTCCCCCAGCATCCCAGCATGCTCTCTGGGCTGGGCTCTCCCTTCTGCTCCCTGGCTGCAGCTTTGGCAGAGACTTGTAGGCACAGCAGGGTCTGCCTGGCTTCCCCTTGCCCAAGTTCCCTGCTGATACCCCTTACTCCCAACCCGCATCCCCCTGCCCCCCCAGCCCTGCTGCCCACGCAGCTCCCTGCTGCCCCTGAAGAACCTCCCACCCCCTTCCCCCACTTCCCTGCCCTGCTCTAGCCCCAGCACTTGCAGGCATGCAAGAGCACACGTGCACTCACAGACACCCACACACATGCTGCCCCCATCCCCAAGCAGCTCCTTGCTGGGTCAAGTTGGGAAGTGCCAGGCAAGTGGAGGCAGAGCAAAATCCCAGACATTTGGTGATATTTAAAAAAACCACCCGGATGGAGGTGGGAAGACCCAAAAAGCTGACATGTCCAGAAAAACCTGGATATATGGTAACCCTAGCAAGGAAGGACCTGGACTACCATATAAGCTGACTCCAGGAAAGAAGATGTCAAGAAAGAATCTCTTTTGCAGAGTGGGTAGGTGCTGGCTCAGGAGAAGGAAAGCCCCAGGAACAGGAGGGGCTGTAATTAGAAAGGGTGGGGAATAGAAAGGTCTCCCTCTTGGTGGGTGAATATTCCTGGATGAGTTAAAGGTTTTGCTGACATATTCTAGTTTACACAGCAGGGTATATTTTGTTTTCTCCTTATTGACCCAAGGAGGTTCAAGTTCTTAGTCAGGAGTGTATTGAGTAACAATCAGTGGCTTGGGGGTGGCTATAAAGGGTGGTTTGGAGGCTGCAAATATGGGGCTTAGGCACTTGGTAACTGGAACCCCTGCATAGGGCAGGGATATGAAGAGATTTGAGGAAATGAAGTCAGAGATAATAGACTAAGGCTGAAGGGTAAAGTCAGAGAAAGAGGGCTAAGGCTGAAGCCTGGACAAGAAGGCTGGAGCCTGGGTAGACAGAAAGTATTATCTGAGCCAGGATGCTTAATAAATGGAGACTGAGTAACATCTGCATAGCATAGGTGTTACTATGATGATAGATGCCCCTAAGGCATGACTGAGACCATCAGGCTATAACTGGTAAAACTGAGGCATGGGCTTGCTAACTAAGTAGGGTAAGGGCCTATAGAAAAATAGGCTAATTGCCTCTCAGGGCACCCATGGAGGTAAAGACAAAGGGCATTTATACACATGCTCTGGGAGGTGGGTCGGGGGGAAATTTTAATTAAAGCGGCTCCGAGAGCCACTCTAATTAAAGCACCCGGAGCGTCACGTGCATCAACGTCCCTGCACTGAAAAATGGTGGTGGGCACACTTCAACTAAGCTCTTTGAACAAGCTTTAGTTAAAGTGCTCTCACCGCCACTTTTCAGTGTGGGGACATTGATATATGCCACACTTCAGCACATCAGAGCAGTCTACCTACATGTGTATAGATGCCCAAAGAGTGACAGCATCAGAAGGAAAGGAGGCACTTAAGAATTCATCCTGACCCAGAGGACAGCCTCCCAACTCAACATAATGACTCTCCATCAAGGCATGGCAGATGAAGTTGGTGCTAGCTCAGCCATGAAACCTGAGGAGCCTTGGTGAGGTGGAGGATGAGGGGGTAGCTCAGCCACAAAGGGGTGCCACAGTCATTCCAAAGGGGTACCATTTTATAATACAGGCAGTCCTCGGACTTACGACACAATTGGTTCCTGAAAATTACATCTTAAATTGAAACGTTGTAACTTGGAACCAATTTTCTCATAAGAAACAATGTTATAAACGGGGGATTGGTTCCTGAACCAAGGCCTGATACCCTATTTTCACCAAAAGTACCCCAGAATTTTATACTTGATCAATTATAGATGAGTAATATAGCTACATTAATGTATTTATATTGGAAATAGCAATCATATTGATTTGGAAGGACTTCTTTGAGGTGACTTTGCTGGACTTTTTGAAAGGCTCTTGGTTGGACTTTTTGAAGGGTTCTTGGCTGGAGTCTTCTCAGGAGTCTTGGCTGCAGGTTTTTCTGGAGTTTTGTCTGCTTTGTTAAAGAACGTGTCCAAGGAAGTTTGGACAGATGTTCTCCAGGGAGATGAGTGACAGCGAGCTTGTTCGCTGGCGTGGCATCGCATTGGATCAAGCATTGTAAAGTCAAAAATGACATCATAAAGTTGAAACAGGGTGTCAATTTATAAACATAAGTGTGAAACAGAACTCAAAACGTTGTAAGGCGAGGACTGCCTGTAGTGTCTGACAAAATAATCTTTGTGGGGCTGCTTTTCATTAGTTAAAGTAGCTTGTTTCCCCTGTAACTCTAGTTTCATGGTTCTTTACACTGCCCATACATTTCACATTGTATAAGTGAAGCAACATCAACATTGTATAATAGTAGTTGGCAACCTTTTTGGCCTGAGTGACCCAATTAGGATCAGGGGTGGGTGGGAGGGCACTAGAATACAGCCACTGCTGCTGCTTGTCCCTGGAATACAACAGAGACAGCACCTGCAGCTGGTGCTTTTCCGTGCAGTGGCAGGGGAAAGCAACTGCTGCCAAAACCCTGTGTCTGTAGGCTAGATCAAATGGCTCCATAGGCTGGATCTTGATAAGTTGCTCATCTCTGTTGTATAAGATTGAGGTCACTTTTGAGCTTATTTTAATTACTCTTTAAAATAAGGGGCATTTAAGGTATGGCCAATAACCTCCTCCAGAATGGAGATGAATGCAGCACTTTCTTTATGCCCTCAGTTATACAAACATTCTTATGACTCTATCACTGAAACCTTTTTCATGGAAAGAGATGCTATAACCTTATAACTCCACATCACCAATTTGACCTGACTCAGTTTTCTTAACTGACAATCATTAATGAAACATTATTAGAGTTTTTTGTTCAAGCTGATAAAATGCAACCAAAAAATAAAAAAGCAAGAAGTAATCATTGCAGATCAAACCCATAAATCCATACAAATCCATAATTTCAGAAATTTTACATTGTCACAACTGTAAACAAGCCCTACATCCAGAGGATTCCCATCAAAATCAAATAGGAACACCAGGATGAAACCAGACTCAAGCCAGTAGATACTGGACCTGAATCCCCAGTACATTTTTCCACCTTTACCAATATAACCCGTATAACCCCACAGAAATAAACTGAAGCCAGATGGTATTGCATAAGGGCTATTATAATTCCTATACTATTCCATTTATTCCAATAAAATGTTGGAATCAATAAAGCTAATATATGTTATAATTGAAGGGCTATAATTTCCATAAAATATAACTCCCAAATAAAACATAAGCATTGGCATTAAGATACAGTGTTAATGTATTAACGATGTAGACAGGGTACTGCTCTAGAGGAAGTGGTCCACCACAACTTGTATCCCCATATTTTGAAATGCAGATGTACATAGTACTTTTAGACTATAGTTGTTAATGATTACCTAGAACATTCAAGACTGACTCACAAGTAAAACTGCATACTTAAGACAGAGGGTTCGGTCACCATATCACCAAAGAACATAACTTATACAGAATTAATGCAGCTGACCTATGAGAAAGGGAGCAAGATTACAAAATATTGTATGGAGACAAAGTAATTCCTGAACAAAAAATGGATATGAATCAAAGGAAAAGGTAAGACGATGTTCAATTATGTCCAAAACTTTAATAAGCCAATGTCCTGGGCGAGCTAGATGTAAGATGTGGGTCAGAGTCAGGTGAAGCAACGGGAAGACCAGGTTTGTATGTTTTGATCATCTCCACCATAAATGGTGGACATGAAAATGAAATCTTTGTCTTTGAATCTGCAGTGGAATGTAATGCATTACAATATAGAACAATATGGTGTCTATGAGCATGTGAAATAGCACAAGAAATTTAATTTTACCTTTATTTAAAAAGAATGCAACATGTCATTGTCCTGAGACCATTAAGAGTTGGTATGACTGATGGGTACACTGCATCTCTCTGGGAAGTGTGAGCTGCAGTACATCTTCCAAATAGTGGCTATTTGGGAAATATAAAACATCTTTGTTAAAACAGAACACTTGACTATATCTGTAGTGCGTGATTTGGTAGTTTAAGCAAGAGGTCAGTTATGGATCATAGTTATCAAGTGTTATAAAAGATAGAATTCCTCTTTTGAAGCTTTATTATTTCACTCAATCTAATGTTCCCTTGCTCTTTTTCCCAACCAGTTTTAGACATGTGAGGTAACAACTCTTCAGTAAAAGCATGATTAACAACAAATATATTTTTATAACCCTATGAAGGAGGTGAGGGTTTGTTGCAATATTTATTGCAGGCCCAATCACCTTTGGCAATCTGCTGTGCAAAGTAGGCAATTAAGATAGGCGGGAAGACCCAGCTCTTTATTTCTTGAATGCAATAACTCCCCTTATTTAATTCTCCGATGAATAGGATAACTGCATAGAATCCTCACTTGTGGTCTCAAACATTGTTTTTTTATTATTTTCAGTTGAGTGCTATATATTTGATCCGCAAGATGAATTAACTGCTGGTTCTCCCACAGTCAACCTGAGCTATTTATAAATTAGTGAGATTAACCCTTGACAGAGCTTCATGGGGGGTGAAAGTTGCTTCTCTGAAGCAGGAACCCAGCATGAACACAGGCAGTGATTGTTGCTACACTAGCTAGAATCATGGGACCCAAGGACCACACACTGCATGCCCTAGTGGCCTCTTTACACCAGAGGCAGGCAATCATTTTGGGCGGAGGGATGCTTAACAAAGTTTGGTGAGCTGTTGAGGGCCGCATGGGTAGCTCTGCCCCTTGCCAGGTGCTCGTCCCCTGGTCGCCATTGTGCGGGCCGCCTCCTGATCCTGTCCATGTCGCCATGTGCGAGCCGGGAGCGATATGCGGACCCGTCTTTGCGCACGCGGGCTGTGGCCAGCAGCCCGGGCACGCAGGGTCGAAGAAGACCGGTGGCGAGCTAGAATTAGTTACGGACGCATAATGGTTGATTAAAAGATTGTTTACTTACACCAAAGATGGTCGTGGTGTAGGCTGGACAGTTTTCCAGGCTCAGCTCCGCTTAAATCCTCGCTAGAGGACTCCAACAATTGACCCCGGAGTTGTTGAAGCTCCGCGGGTTCAGCTTGGTAATTGGCCCCGGAGTGGTTGAAGCTCCGCGGGTTCGGTAGTTTCAAAAGGAAGGGATACGTCTTAGGATTGCGCTCAGCGACGGGGAGAGGCTAGAGGCCGTTTGGCCCCCGGAGTGGTTGAAGCTCCGTGGGTTCGGTAAATCGGCCCTCTATTGCCCTCTTAAGGAGAAAAAAAAAGCTGGGTTCAAAGGGATTAGCAGCGCTTAGAAATCTTCACGCTCTTTCTTCCAAACTCCAATTGCTTTCTTTCTCTCTCTCTCTCCAACTTGGGCGGAAACCACCCAAGCTCTTTATACGGCTAGCAAGCCAATCGCTAGCCACCACGTGTGCCTATATTAAGATCGGCCAATAATGTGGCGCAAATCTCAATTCAAATGGTGGGAACTCCTTTGCACCGTGCATCACTATGATGCAAAAGAAATGCACCATGCAAAGAAACGGCGGGAAATACTCTTTTGCACGCGGGTTCTCCTATTGCAAAAGAAAACTCCACCGTGTAAAGAAGCTGAAATTTGGCGGGAACATAATTTAGCGGTGCCGAAGCACACAAAAACAAAAAACCACAACTTTGGGTTGTGACAGCCATCTTGGGACTGGAAGTCCCACTCCTGACCCTTGACCTTTACCACCAGAGGTCCCTCCCCTTGCCCCCTGGAAATACTCTTTTTTGGGAAGGGGAGTTGCCATCTTAGAACCAGAAAAAACAAAGCATACACTAAAAGTCAAACATCTACTATAATGTAGTTTAATTTTATTACAAAAAATATTTTTGTCATGATTTGTGTTTGTGTACTGTATATAGAGGGGACTGCATAATAACTCAAAAATAAATTCTTAGCCTTTTATAGTGTGTGTGTGTGTGTGTGTGTGTGTGTATGGTGGGGAGGTGCATATGGTAGGGGTATATGGTACGGGGTGTATATGGTGGGTGTAGGTGTGTGCGTATGTATGGTGGGGCATGTGTGTATATGGTGGGATGTGGGGATGTTTATGGTGGGGGGCCTGGGGGTGTGTGGGGGGAGTTTGTGAGGGGATGTGGTTGTGTGTGGGGGGGTATAGGGTATGCTGGAGGGTTGCATGGCGTTTGTGGGGTGTGGCTGTGTGGCTCTGGAACACACTGTCCTCTCCTGCAGACAACGCAGGCAACACTGGGGGTAAGGTGGGGTGTGTGTGTGGTGTGTGGGGAGTGAGGCAGGGTGGGAGGGGTGTGAGGACCCCTCCTACACTCCCCCAGTGGCGCAGCAGCAGGTGGGGGCGCTGGTGCCTAGCTCTGGCCAGTGCTGCACGTGGCAGTGAGGAGCGCAGCTCCTGCTGGCCTGTTTGTTTCCCCAGCACCACCTGCACTTGCAGGGCACAGGAGGGAAGCCCCAGGTGCTGGAGCTGGCTGCTTTCCCCACTCCAGCCCACTTCAGTGCCTGGGGCTTCCCACCTGCTCCTCATGAGCGCAGGGAGCGCCGTGGAAACAAACAGCCCAGCGGGGGCTGCACTCCTCAGAGTGCTGGCTGGATCCAGGCACCAGCACTGAGCAGAGTGCCCCCTGCCCCTCTGCTGCTGCCCCTGCTGCCTGCCAGGGGTGTGCGCCATGGGGCGAGTGAGGAAGGGGGTCCCCATACCCGTCCCCCCTCACACTCGCACCCTGCCCACCTGAGCTTTGTGCTGTTGCCACCCCCCAGGCGAGGGCTCTGCACTGCAGCCAGCCCCACGCTCCATGCTCCTACCCAGCTGCAGCCCCGTCTCCACCCCCCACTTCCCTGCCTGCTGCCTAAAGGGAGCCAGACACCAGGGAAGACTGCAGCAGCAGCCCCACTCCATGCTAGCGGGGCCTGCCCTTCCACTGACAAGGTTGAGAGTGAGGCATAATAGGGTATGTTGGGGGTAGGTGTAGGTGACTCACTCCCACCCTCACAGGCAGAAGGGCTGGGCACAGCACAATTCATTGTGGGGTGCTGTGGGCCAGATGAAAGTACCTGGCGGGCTGGATTTGGGCCACAGGCTGGATTTTGCCCACCCCTGTTCTATGCTATACCACAGGCTCAGAGACGGAGCCTAGAGACCCCGGCTACTTTTGCAGTCAAAGCAATGTGGGGAGCAGTGGCCAAGTGAGAGCTCAAGAGCTTCAGTTTAACCCCTTGTGGGCTGCATGAGGCCTGCAGGCCACCAATGGGACAGAGCAGCCATTTATCCGACCCACAGAGCTGGGAGATTCTGCAGCACTTTGGCGGTGGGGGCTTTGGTGGCACTTTAGCAGTAGGAGGCTTTGCTCATGTGGCAGCAGGGTGACAGGGAAAAGCTACCACAGAAGCACTGTGCAGGGAGTTCTGACTGAGGCTGAGGTGATGGTGGCACGAGTTGGTAGTAGCCCAAGCTCAGAGCTAAGCTCCATTAAAATAGTCCCCCACTAAAATGTTGCTGGCCCCTGCCTTACGTAGTGGTGAGAACAGGTCGTGGTGAGACTAAATCGGTAAACTGAGCACCTAAGTGGGGGAAAAAAGGTGATCTAGAATACCCTCCCTCCAAGCAGCTACAAACTCCCTTGAATGCCCTCATTCCTCCTGGGTTCTGGTCCTTGCACCTGAGACTGTTTGTGCACTGAGAACAGGGACCAGAGCCAAGGAATCCCTCAACCGAGTTAAGTGCTCTAAACATTATGCTCCAGCAGCAGGCTTCCCTTTGCTAGCTTTCCTATTGGCACAGTGATTCCTGTACTTTTGGCTTCCCAGTGGCCCAGCTTCAATAAGAAGGGTGGACAGTGCCCCCATTCACTTAAACTGACAGCTTGACGGTTAGGGCAATCTCATGAGAATTTTAATTCCCATGTATATAACCCAAGTCTCTTACTCCTGAGTGAATTCTCTACCCTCTGGGTAGCCATACAAAAGATTGGGGGAATCCTTTGTAGACAGAGGTGTCCAAGCTGTAGCAAGGAATGGTGGTTAAGACACATCCTTCCCATAGCAAACTACTGTATTTTATTGCATATAACCCACCTCTGAATATAATGCACACCCTGTTTTTTTAATGGTATCATGAAGAAAAAAAATCTTATGTTGGATAAATATCTGAGTAGCAGCAGCTAGGGAGCCCAGCCTGTTCCTGAGCTGGCTGCTAGCCCCATATGCTGGGTAGAACCTATGGATCAGTCCAACATAAGGGTTCAGGGCCATGTGGTGAGCCTAACCCAGGTCCAGCTCTGCTCACAGGATTACCTTATCCAGTTTGGGGGCTCCCCCTGCATTCGGAAATTTGGTGGTGGGCAAGCAGTGGCAGCATTAACTATTGTGGCTCACAAAACTATAGCAATTAAAGCTGCTACCATTCCCCTGCTGTCAAGTTTCCAAACCCATGGAGATACCTATTTCTCATATATAATGTGAACCCCAATTTCCATCAGCTAATTTTGGAGAGAAAAAGTGATGGTTATATTGGTATGAGTAGCTGCTTACTGTCTGAACTTTCTAAATCAGTCTTTGCCTTATGCTTCACAAGGACAGTATACCAAATGTATGTACTTAACTCTCTTTTAATTTGAATCTGCCCACTTTGGGCCCAATGCCCAATTTTCAGGTACTGTCAGTGGTGATGTGTAGGAGGTGCACGGGGGTGCATGCATACCCCCTGAGAGCGCTGGTGCACCCCCTGACAGCCAGCGCTCTCCACTTAGGCGACAGGTGGGGGAGTAGGCAGGAGTGCCGGCGCCCCCCGTGAGCACCAGCTGGGAAGTAGGGAGTACCAGGAGAAGCGCCGCTGGCACTTCCAGGAGCATCCTCCCCCTGGTTGGTGAGTGATTGGCCACAGGGTGACCCATCCCCCTGATTGCTGACTGGCCACTGGGGGGGGCACGTGCCCCCCTCCACCCCCCCGACTAAGGAGGCACCAGTCGC